TTGATATCTGAAATTAGCAGTCGTGGTGCCCCCACCCCTTATTAACAGGACACAAATTAAGACCACCAAGAGGCACAGTTTTATATCCACAAATCAACAACACCTTAGTCTCAGGTAACACAAGCACTGCAAGAATGTGGCTCAGCAGGACCTACGTACCCTGGGACTAGGATGTAACTGTCACCCCATTCTTCCACACGAGTTTTCAGTTCCTTCTGAAGTTAATCACTTGCAGCTGGCCATGGCAATGCAAGCCTGAACTCCCAACACTGGGGAGGCAGAGGCAGGAGGATTGCTGCAGGCCAGCAGCCCACCTCGTCTATATAGCAAGCCCCAGGTCAGCCAGGGCTGTGCAGGGAGACCCCGTGTCACTGTCGTGCAGGCAAGCACGCATGAGAGTTCTCCTGTAGGACCTCTAGTGTCTGAATGCCAGTAGATGCGTAGCATTTACAAGAATGTAGTAGTTTATGAAAGTTAAAATAGCATTAGCTGGAAACAGACCAGGCATTAGAAATAGAGTACCGAGTTTGAGCATCAAGGCCCAGGTGATCTTAAAAGGCCTACTGTGGTGTCACTTGTAAAAGCCCATGATAGTACACGGTAACCTATTGTTGGGCCTGACCGTCTGTGCAGAGAGAAAGAGGCAGAGGACTGTCTAGATTTATATATAGATAATCCTGGTATTTTCCAATTGCTTACAGTTTAAAGTGACACATTTGTTCTCTTTTACATTTATTTGTGTGTGTATGTGTGTGTGCATGTCTGCGCCATGCCGTGCATGTAGAGGTCAGAAGGTAACCTGAGAGAGTTGGTTCTCCTCTTCCATCATCTGAGTCCTAGGGATTGAGCTCAGGTTGTCAGGCTTCGCAGCAAGTGCTCTTACCTCCTGAGCCCTCTCACAGGCCCCTTGTTCTTTTTGTTTAATCCAAATTAATGGGATTTAAAAATAGCATACTTAGCCGGGTGTGGTAGCACATGCCTTTAATACCAGAGGCAGAGGCAGAGGCAGAGGCAGAGGCAGGTGGATCTCTGTGAGTTTGAGGCCAACCGGGTCTACAGCATTGACCTAGAGTTCTAGGACAGCCAAAGATACACAGAAAAACCCTGTCTCAAAAAAAAAGTGTTCTTTATTTATCTTTTTAAATAGTGTGTTTTATTGTGGTATACGTCAATCTGTGAAAGTCTTTCTTTAAAAAATTATTACTTTGAGTGTGTGTGTGTGTGTGTGTGTGTGTGTGTAGGCCATGATATGCATGTGGAGGTCAGAGGGCAACTTTTGGGAGTGAGCTCTCTCCTTCCACATATTGGTCCCACAGATCCATCTCAGGTCCTCAGGCTTGGTGGTAGGCATCTTTCTTACTCAACCTTCTGCTTGGCCCAAAAGCCTTTCTTGAAACAATTTGAGGCAGACAAGCAAAATTACACCTGCCAAGAGCTTAGGAAAGCTGTGCTCTAGGTTCGTGTCCTCCACATGGAAAGGAATGCAGAGCAGCTATGGCTGGTTGCTGTCTTGGGTAGGGTTTCTATTGCTGTGAAGACTCCGTGACCACAACAACTCTTGCAAAGGAAAACATTTAGTTAGGGTGGCTCGCTTACAGTTCAGAGGTGTTGTGGGATAATCTTTTTGTACACCGTGAAGATGTGTCTCTGCCAAGGCACCTTCTGAATGGTTTAATAAAGAGCTGAATGGCCAATAGCTAGGCAGGAAAGGATAGGCCGCACTTCTGGAAGAAGATAGGAACTCTAGGAAGAAGAGAGGCAGAATTCGCTAGTGAGATGTGGAACAACCTGGATGTACAGTATGGAGAAGAGTCATTGAGCTGCTACATGGCAGAACATAGATTAATATAAATGGTTTAATTTAAGTTTTTAGAGCTAGCTGGGAACAAACCTAAGCTAAGGCTAAGCCTTCATAATGAGTAAGAATCTCCATGTCATTACTTGGGAGCTGGCAGTCCAAAGAAAGACCCGTTACACAGAACTTCAGTCCATGATCATCACGGTGGGACATGGAGGTGTGCAGGCAGACATGGCATTGGAGAAGAAGCTGAGAGTCCTACCTCGTGCAGGCAACAGGAAGTGGGTCTGACTTACTGGGCAGAGTATCCTGAGCATAGGAAACCACAAAGCCCACCCTCACAGTGACACACTTCCTCTAGCCAGGCCATACCCACTCCAACAAAGTCACACCTTCTAATAGTGCCACTCCCTATGACTTTATGGGGGCTAGTTATGTTCAGACCACCCCAGTTGGTAAGGGCGCCTCTGTAATCAAAGCTGTTTATCCTTTGCCGAAACTTGGGAAGCTTCAGGGGATGTTAGTGAATCTGGCCTGAACACACTAACATCAACCGAAACTGCCAGGTTGACACACTCCTTTGCCATAAGGAATTTGTAAATGGTGTTGCTGAGCAGAGTGCTTTCAAAGTGTGTGTGAGAAGGAAACTCACGCAGCCAGGTCAGCTCCTGCATGCCGCCTTCAGTTCCAGTCCCTCAGGTCTGTGTGGCAGAGCCTAGGGAAATGCTGGCAAATGCCTCCTAGGACTCTGTCAGGCCTGAAATTTCTCCTTTGGTCTCCTTGCTGAGGCACAGAGGGAGGGATCACCAGCAGGGCGAAGAGAAAGGTCATTGGTTTTTTCTCTCCGGGGAAGCTTTGGAGGGCTTCCCAGGCACACCAGCCACACTGAAGAGCTGTGGTTAGAGGCACAGATATGGTGAAGATAAGATTTCTAAGTTGCAAAATGAGCCTTTGGTCCTGAAGATTTCCTCGGGCAACGCCCTGAGCTAAAGGGAAGGCAGGGCAGCCATTTGTTTACAGACACCTGATAAGGTGGTGAGTGGCATTGCTGTTCTTTATCTAGCACTCAGCAGCTGCTCACCAGCCAAGTGAAAGATTAGAGTCTGTGCCACCAAAAGAATACACTTGATCCCTCCAATAAAGTCTTCTCTGTGAAGCGTTAAGCTAGTCCGTTGGCAAGGAGTGTGGTTGTGCATTGGAGAAGTTAGGATTTTCTTAGGACCACAGTCGAAGTTTTCCAAGTCGGAGAAAACACAGCGTTTAAGATAAACCACATTGGCATCTGACCGGCTCTAGTCAGCAGACTGGTTCACAAAACTGTTTTGTGTTTTTAGGTATTTATAATGAACTTGCTAATAAGCAGTAGGAGATGCTTAACTTCACCTGTCTGTTTTGTGTGACCAATGATTGTTGTATTTTCTCCCAGTTTATGTTTTGTTTTGTTTTGTTTTGCATGACAGGGTTTCTCTGTCTTTGTAGATCAGGCTGGCCTCATACTCACAAAGATCCACCTTTCTCTGCCTCCCGAGTGCTGGGATTAAAGGTTTATGTTTTATAATTTGACTATTGTTCCTATACTGTTCTTTCTCTTTTGCACTGATTTCAAAGGTAAACTTAAAATTTTTCTCTTTTAGATTTTTAAACTTTATATAGATTGGTGTTTTGCCTTCATGTCTGTATGTCTGGGCACCGTGTGTGCATAGTGCCCTCGGAGGCCAGAAGAGGGGATCTGAACCCCTGACACTGGAGCTCCTGATGGTTATGAGCTGCCAAGAAGGTTCTGGGAACCAAGCCTGGGTCCTGGGGAAGAATCCTAAGCCATCTCCACAGTCCTAGGGAACCTTTCTAATGTGTGGCTATCCTCCTCTTTATCTTCCTTTTCTAAGTTGCTCTTAAGTATAAAGATTATAATTGTGGTCATTTTTAACTATTAATGGTTACTTGATGATGTACTACTCCTTTGAAAATGTAAGGGCGTGTTTCCTGGAACCTCTCAGGACCCACACTCAGAAGTTGCTGAGATCACTCACTCTACCTGAGTTCCTGCTGCTCAGGATTTCTTGACTTTTTTTTTTTTTAAGCATTCATATGTATGTGTATGCATATTCATTTTGTCTGTGTGTCTGTCTGTCTGTCTGGAGGCCCAGAGTTGGTATCAGATGTCTCCCTTGATCCCTCTCCACTCTGCTTATTAAGACAGGGTCTCTCATTTCTTCGCTGAACCCAGAGTTTGCTCGTCTAGCCGCTTTGCCCCAGGGATCCTGCCTCTGCTCCCCGGGTGCTGGAATTAAAGTTGTCTGCCATCTACCCATCTTTTATGTGGGTTCTGGGGATCCAAACTCTGGCCCTCACAGTTGTCTGACTAGCACTTTATCCATGGAGTCATCCCTTTCGCCCCCGGTTTTCTGATGTTTCATATAAGTAAGTCTGGTGCCTTCTGCCCACTAAACGCTAGGTGAGCACTGATTATAACAGTCGCGGTAGTAAGAGCTCAGGGGATTCACCGCTTCCGTGCTGACACCTGTGCTTTCTTCAAGGCGTTTGTCCCCTCCAGTGGGTTCCTTGTCATTTTCTACGGTGGGGTCAAAGATCCCACCAGTGATATCTATCTGTTAAGAACTGTGTGATTTGTGCCCACCCAGGGACACCATCCTGGTCAGAGTTACATGGTGAGACCCTGTCTCAAGAAAGAAAGAAAGAAAAAAAAGATGCAGAAGTTTTTTAGTACCAGATGCTAATTCAAAACCCTATTCACTTTGATATGTATTCAGATGCCTGCCTCATGCAAAGTGATGCAGGCGAAATATAAAAACAGAAAGTCATACTATACCTTGTTTGCTGTGAGGAGCATGAAGGGCTGACGTCAACTTATACTGTTTCTGTCACATTGTTTTTATAAAAACCGTTTAATTTAAATTTAGTTTAAAGTTTAAAAAAGATCTGCAACTTGCTTATCACAGTACATACAATAGACATTTGTTTTTTTCTCCATGTTTGTTACAGACATTTACAGGTCTATTTCCTGCTTAAACTGGAGCATGAAGAATAATTTAATATGTATTTATTTCCACAAGAGAGGCATAGGTCAGGACATGATGGTGATGGGCTTACGAGGGCACATTCTGCAGGAAATTGTCAGGAAAAGCTTCCCCAGAGCACTGGAGGTGGGATTTCAGGCGACCTGTGCCGCTTCGGTGACTAGTTAGTTCAGTCACTGTGCGAGCTAGATGCCAGTGCGCGTCTGAGCGGAGGTGCCAGTGAGGTGCAGGTTCACGCGGGCAGTAAGTGCGCAGTTTGAGCGTTAGATGGGTGTGTTGGAAGATAGCAGTTGTGGAAGGGAGATGGCAGCGTGCCAGGGACAGGGGAGTGGCAGTGTGACCGGGGAGGGTGGCAGTCAGACTGGGTCAACTGCTAAGCACTAACCCAGCTGATATCATCACTGACTTTTCACGGCTTTGTGTCTTTCAGGAGGTTCATGAGCTATTCCAGGACTATGAGCTGAAGTACTGCTATGTGGACAGGAATAAGCGAACAGGTGAGCGCTCCGTTGCAAGCACGTCATCTTGTTTTGATTTCGCATGAAGCTACTAGAGAGCAGGAAAGCTTGCTGTGTTTTCATCTGTCTTCTTCCCATGCTGGGCACTGAACTTAGGGCCTCTGCGAGTGATGGCAAGCATCCCACCCCTGAACTCTATTCCTTACCAGCTGTGGAGTTTCTAAGTGTGAAATACATCGGTGTGACTCACCGGCTACTTCCTGAGGGCAGTATTAATGTCCCGAACTTTAACCAGTAAGCAAATACAGTGTAACTGCAGGTTTGATTTTTAACAATGAATGTTGGCTGGTATGTGTTCTTCGGGGTGTGCTCTGTGCTTCCATCTGATAATGTTACTGGGTTCTGCGAACACACGGTGTGTAGCTTGACCTTCAGCTGGACAAATTAGGAAAACTTGCTTAGTTTTTCTGAGTATTAGTTTCATTTGTGAGATCAGAACTCTGTTCTTGTAGGGGCAATGATCTATAAATATCTGTGAACATTTTTTCGATGATAAAATCCAGTGCAGATGACGGTAAGACCCCTGTATACACGTGTATTCTAATGCAACTCGTTCATCTAGAAAGCTGGGGTTACAACTTGATGTGGAACACTTGCCTAGCTTGTGCGAGGAAATGGGTTTGATCCCAGCGTTTCCCCCCAAAGTGTATAGCTTAATGTGTATTGCTGAATTGGGAACACCCCCAAGTCCCTCAAAAGCAAAAACAGCAGAAGACTCCCAGATACAGAGGAACCCCAGTTCACAGCACTCTGACTGCATCTCCCCCTGGGGGAAACACGTAGGAATCTGTTTCCAGTCTGTGGAATATGGCATGATCATCCCTAGATTGTTCTTGTTCTCTTGGGCTTGAGATACCCTTTTGTTCTCCCTCCTAGGGGTCTTGAGAGGACAGATGTGTCTTTTTGTAAATAAAACGATAATGGACATAACGTGTGTTTCTTTAGGTGAAGGTTTCAGAGCCAGCATGTGGCTCGATGCCCTCAGACTAGATAACTTGGTTCAGTTTGATTGGTCTCACAGCCCCTTCCACTTCCTCTTTGGAAGCCCCACATATGTAACTCCCAGGTGAATGTCTTATTCCCCAATTGGAATATGAACTCAATGCTGAATAACAGTGCTCTTCCAGCGCCTAGTCTGTAACCAGACATACTACTGGATAAATAAGAAGGCCTTGATTGCCCAGGGCAGGAGGGTAGAGAGCAGGGATTCAGTGACTTGGCGCTTCTGGGTATTTGAATTTGGGTCTCATGAGTATTCTACCAGGAAAGACCCTGGAGATTGCTATCTTTCATTTGTGAGCACAGGAAGATGTGGCAAAAGGAAGTGGAAGGCGGGCTCAGACAGGTGTGCAAACTTGGGAAAGAGTGTTCACACAGGTGTGCAGACTCAGGCACGAGTGCACAGACAGGTGTGTAGACTGGGGCAAGGGTGCTCATACAGGTGTGCAAACTTGGGAACGAGTGCTCAGACAGGTATGCACACTCGGACAAGAGTGCTCACACAGGTGTGCAGAATTGGGAAAGAGTAAGTAGAGAACATAAAGGGATGATCAGAGACTTCAAGTCCCTGGCCCTCCAGCATAAGCTCACAGTTTTATGGGCTAATAGAGAACATAGCTAGTATTCAGTAAACCGATGTTTTGTGTATTAGGGAAAAAGGGTTAAGTGATGTGGCAGCCTGACTGGGCTGGGGAGGCCTAGAGCTGTAATGGGCATGTCTGTGGGGAGTATCTAGTTTAACTGGGGTAGCACATGACCTGGGGTCCTGGACTGTACAGAAAAGAGAGAGTTAGCTGAGTGCCAGCTTTGTTACTCTCTGCTTCCTGACTGAATGCTGTGTAACCAGCTGCCTCGGGTCCAGCCACCAGGACTTCCCCACCATGATGATGTATACCCCTAAACTGTGAGCCATGATACATTTCCTTTCCTTAGGGTGCATGCTGGCTGGTTTTATGTCAACTTGATCCAGCTAATCTTCATAGAGGAGAGAACCTCTATTGAGAAAATGCCTCTGTAAGATTGGACTGTAGGCAAACCTGTAGGGCATTTTCTTAATTAGTGATTGATGGGGGTGGGCTCAGCCTATTATGGGTGGTAGTGCCCTACTCAGGTGGTCCTGGCTTCTATAGAAAAGCGGAGTGAGCAAGCCAGGGTGAGCAAGCCAGTAAGCAGCATCCCTCCATTGCCTCTGCATCAGCTCCTGCCTTCAGGTCCTTCCCTGTGTGAGTTCTTGTCCTGACTTCCTACAGTGATGGACTACAGTATGGAAGTGCAATCCAAATAAACCCTTTCCTCCCCATCTTTCTTTTGGTCGTGGGGTTTCATCATAGCAATAGCAGCCCTAACTGAAACAGAAATTGGTACCAGGATGGTAAGATACTGCTGCGACAGACCTGGCCGTGTTGTTTTGGGGGAGGGTCATGAAAAGATCCTGGGATGTTGGGCTAAAAAAACAAAACAAAACAAAACAAAACATTGAGTGTTCAAAGCTTGGTGAGCTGTTCTGTGGGACTTTGGAAGATAAGGATGTTGAAAGCAATGCAGAGGATGGAGGCCTGACTTGCAATGTTCAAGGGGGAAGTTTAAAAATTACCTAAAGACTGTCAGGGTCGTTGCCAATTTGCTCCTTTGAATTAAGGTTTTGTGGCTCTGGAAGCTGGGGCAGAAGAATCAGTGGCAATGAATGAGAGACTAGCATCATTGAAGTGAAACCTTTGCTTGGCTGAGACAATTGATGCCTGTCGCCTGGGGCTGAGGAATTAGCGGTGATGAACGAGAGACTGGCATCATTGAGGTGAAGTCTTCTGTGAAGTGTTTACTGAGAGTCAACACACAGAACTTGTTTTCCAGAGGCGACCAAGGTTGTGCCTAGGGCTGGCAGCCAAACTTGGTAGTAGTGTAAGAGCCATCCAGGTGGTGCTGGTTTTGAAGGCATGAAGGGGTCATGGACAGCAGCTGAGGCTTGGTGCTGTGCGAGGGTCATTGGTGAAGGTGCGGCCTCAGTAGGAGTTGAAGGCCCAGGACTGAGGGGGTCATGCAGAGAAGTTGAAGCTTGGTACCACGAAAAGACCTCAGGAGAGGCTGAAAAGTGCAGTCCAGTTGCAGCAAGGGACCCCAGGATATTGGAGATGCCAGTACCAGGTGAAGGCCACCAAGAACAGCAGAGGTGAAATGGAGCCTGCTGGACCTTAGAACTCAAGCTGTGTGCTGCAGAGGGCGGAGCCGCAGAGGGCGGAGCCGCAGAGGGCGGAGCCGCAGAGGGCGGAGCCGC